AAAAAAAAAAAAAAGACACTATGGTGGAATATTATTCATGGATTTTTCAGTGTTGACTACGTGAAATGTTTGATTTCAACGTTAATGTTCAATCAAACAACTTCTATGCCATGTCTATAAAACCATTTTCAAGTATTTAATAAATCAGGCAGCACCATGGCACCAAGATTTATTTCCACATCAATAGAAGTGATTTTGGCAAGGCAAAGAAAACCGTCAGTATGAGGAAGAGGAATGCAACCCAAAAGGAAATGGAACAAAATAAAGAATTCCACCATAAAGGTATTTAAGTGAGGAAGCATAACACACACAAACTTTGGGTGCTGATCCGTATTACAATAGTTCATAAGCATAAATCATCTTACTGCCCAAAGGGATTACAGATACAAGCGAGTTAGAAAGAGAGAGAGAGAGAGAGAGAGAGAGAAAGAGAGAGTGGGGGAGGGGGGTGGCGAGAGAGATAGAGAGAGACCTAAAGCGCACGAACTCGGAGAGTGCAGCTGCTGCAGCTTCCCTCAAGCATCTTAGCGATTTATCCAGTGATTTACAAAGAATCAAACAAATCGTAGATACCTGAGTAGTTACACATAGGTTTGGTAAGAAGCAATAAAATACACGGCAAACATAACGTGTGAGTAAGATCAAGATTGCTTTTATGTTATCAAGGTTAACAACTCAAAACAAGAGTCGCATTACAAATACCCAATAATACCATAGTTAAGAGCTACAAGATGGTCGATATAAAATGAGTATAGCTTAAATGGAATACTGGACTGTGATCAGAATATGCACCTCTTTTGGCCTTTTTATGGAAATGCAACCAGCCAGATCCCCAATCAAACCAATCCAAGTGTCCTCCTCACTTTGTTCTCTGTCTCTTGCCAGAATCTGTAAACAATTAGCTTTTATGTCAAAATCAAACTGCTTATAGTTGTTAAGTTGCACTAACCAGACTATTATGTACCTTCCCCATTTCCAGATCACCGACACACTCACAGAATGCATTAAATGCAACCAGTTGTGCGCTGAAAACAGAATGTAGGAGATTAAGCACAATTCAGAAGACGGCACTAGATACTTGCTATTTTAGAAATATGCAAGTGTTACCGCAATGGTTCATGCCGGCCAGAATTAGATAAACTATGACAACTTGCCAAGTGAAGCACAAGAGTTGCAAGGACAGAACCATATTTTTGCTCCACGGCTTTTTTTCCAACTTTCCCTCCACCTCTGTGACATGAATTTATGATTCGCTAATGAGAGGAAAATCATTATAGCCACACAAGAGAAACTGAAATTCGGACTGAGACTTTACTCTAGTCACCAAAAAAAAAGGAACCGGGAAAGCACTCCATCAAAAGATTAGAAATAATGATGATAATAATAGATATGGTGCGCAGCTAGTAAAATTATATTTGTATTAGGTTTTTAATTTTTTCTTCAAATTTGGTCAAACCTCGATGTTATTTTTTGTAGAAATTACAAATAAGAAATTAAAGCAAATCAACCTGAAGAAGGCAGTAAGAGCTATGACAGCAGCATGATATAGATTATCCTCTACAATGCTTTCACCAGAATTGCTGACATTCTCTCCCTTCCAAGAATCACCTTGAACGATAGGAGTCTGATTGAGGATAGAGGTTACATGCTCCAGAAACGAATAGGAAAGAACTGCATGCTGGGAAAATGCCTAAGAATCCAAAGCAAGCAAATAACATCAGGCGCGATTTTTTGGAAATTGCTGTAGTACCAAAACATTGATTTCTGAAACACACACACATGGCACAGAGGCTCGACAAGCGATTCAGCATGCAACAGGAAGACGGAGAAGCATAAATAGACAGCCATATGTGCCTTTTCAATGGACCTGGTTCTACACTAAGAGCATGTTTGTTTATAAGAATTTTTAAAAAATTTCCCACATTTTAACTCAACCACTTTTTTTAACTCAACTTTAACTCAACCCCACTTCATCAATATTATCAATATAATTAAATAATATCAATTAATCATTTATACACACCACATCAACCTTAATTCACTATTCATCTACTCTCATAATTTTAACTAACCATCACATCACATCTTCTCTCTCTTACTTTTACATCAATTTAATTTTAATCATTTTATTTTAAATATTATTTTAATATACCCACTAACAACTAATCATACCACATTTTCAAATTAACCAAACCAAACCAAAAAATCCAAACAAATCCAAAAAATTTCATAAACAAACATGCTCTAAGTGGTTGGCCTGTCTGCTTTTGGAACATCAATCAACTACGTGTCTCATTTTCCATTAGATAAAATCAGCCAACTATAGGTTCAAAAAGCCATTGAGCTTCTCAAAAGTTCTAATTGACACTGGTAAAAGATGCTTATCTGACAAGAAATGACACTTCTTCAACTTGGAAACAACAAGTGATAAGCAGACAAAGGACAGGTAAACTAGCAAATGAAACAACAGTATCACACGTAGATGTCTTTTTAGTTATTTATTTTAAAGGTTTTATCCATACAAAAA